TTAAAGCTCTTCCTCACCCATCACTGGCAGTCTTCCCCCCTTTTTTCCTCCAAGCTCGAGTCCTCTACCAGAGGCCTGGGAGCTTGATGGTTCTGCTCAGTATCTTTGTTGTTCCTAGGACTGCACTGTTCTGGACTGAGATGTCTGATGTATTTCCAGGGATCTGCTGTAACCACTCTTAAAATTTGGGGGTCACTGCCCCGAGGGCCCCAATGACCACGGGTACCACTGATGCCTTGTCCTTCCAGGTTTTCTCCAGCTCTTCTATGAGCCTCTGGTATTTCTCTAGTTTTTCATGTTCTTTTTTCCTGATGTTGCAGTCACTTGGTATTGCTATGTCAACCACAGCAGCTTTCTTCTGCTTTTTGTCCACAATCTCAATCTCTAGTTGGTTTGCCATTACCATTCGATCCATCTGTATCTGGAAGTCCCACAGGATCTTGTCTTGATCATTCTCTACCACCTTTGGAGGTGTTTCTCACTCTGACCTTGGGGTTTCCAGCCCATACTCTGCACAGATGTTCCTGTATACTATTCCAGCCACTTGGTTATGACGCTGCATGTAAGTTTTCCCTGCCAGCATCTTGCACCCTGCAGTTAAGTGCTGGATTGTCTCAGGGGCCTCTTTACACAGTCTGCACCTCTGCACCTGGGGTCTTGTCTGGTGTGGTAGATCTGGGCCTCTATTGCTCTGGTGCTTAGGGCCTGCTCCTGTGCAGCCATGATGTGTGCCTCTGTGCTGTCCTTCAGTCTGTATTTGTCTAGCAATTGGTAGGATTTCCTGATATCTGCCACTTCAATAATTTTTTGGTGGTACATCCCATGTAGGGGCTTATCCTCCCATGATGGAATCTCTGGCACCTGATCTTCTGTTCCCCATTGTCTGAGACATTAACTGAGCACATCGTCTGTTGGAGCCTTGTCCTTGATGTACTTATGGATCTTGGATGTTCTTACGCTCAATAATCCTTGGCCTCCTTCCTTACGGCCGGCCTACAGTCTCAGAGTACTGGATTTGGGGTGGTACCCTCCGTGCCTGGTTAGGAGCTTTCTTCGCCAGCTTGTTATTCCTGCAGGGTATCTGATTACTGGTAGAGCGTAGCTATTTCTTGCCCGAGACTTATTCTTGATATATATAAACAATCACATGTATTTCATAATATACCGTAAATATAATAAAGATTGTATTAACATTTATTCTATTTACACTTAGTCAAACAGCATGATTTGATTTTTATATAGCCATTAATGTTGGCTGATAGTACATTATATTTCATGATCTATAACTCATTTATAAACAATCTATAGAACAACAAAAACAGTACATTCATTTAACCCAGGAGATGGTTTGGGGCAGAACTGATGTCTACGATTCTGGTATTTCCATCTGCAGTGTTTGTTTGCAGAGCCATTCTTCGTCTGCCGTGTGCCTCTAAAATGACTCACAGCCTGACATCCGTTTTTATAATTTTCCTTGTACTCATCACACTTCCTTTGTAGAGAAGGTTAATCCAGGGTTTTTCTCTACACACGAAGGAATTTTTGCTGTCTTCAAATAATGTCGTGTCAAGTGTATTTCAGAGGACTGATTGCAGAGTGTTTAACATCCGTCTCTAGGCAACCATGACAGCATCACAAACCCGTATCTGAGGAAGTCCTGCTTAGATGCTGGAGCCATGCTGGTCTTTGTATCTCTTGCATTTTAGTTTTTACATTTTTTTGATATAATCTTAACAGGTGAAAAAAAAAAACTCTGTCTAATATTTATTAGATAACAGGAAGGATGGCAACTCTCATTTTGATAAATTATAACATTTTATTTATAAACATGACAGGGTGGGAGTTCTAAAACTGCTTGCTACAACCTTGAGGATTGTTCAAGAGGCTCCATCTATTTCTAGATCTGATTCATCCACTGCTAATTTGTATAAATGTGACACAGCTCATTCTGAAGGAAGCTCACTATAGTGGGAACAGAGGAGGTGATATATCATGATCTGAAAATTATTGTTTGGAAACAATGTTAACATGCTTTTTATACACCACAGATCTACTCAAAATCTTTAAAAGGAAGTATAAGAATAGTTAACGTTTAAATAGGTTTTTGTCTTAGCCTAGGTAATTTGTTCTGTTAAAAAAATAAAAATTTGCCTTCGATCTAAAAAGTAACATTTTCAAAATGATAAAAAAAAAAAGTTCAGTATATTTTTCATTTAATTTAAAATCATTTTAATGAGAGAGAGAGTAACTGAAGCTTTCTTGGTATAAGTGCAGAATAATCACATAGTGCTCCCCCTCCTCCACCTGTTGCTGTACTATGCAAGTCAACTGGCTGGGAAAAAAATCGAACTATGAGAAACAAAGACAATAAAAAGTGTTTTAACCAACCATCACTGTAATTCAGGTAATGTAGCTTAAAAACAACCATTAAAAAGCTTTGAGCAGCATATCTGTTAAACACCTGAGTTCACACCCTGATTACTGGAGCAGATCCCTCAACTAGGTAAAAAAATCATATCTTTTCACTTTTATTATTGAAATAATTTTCAACTAATTTAATAATCGATTAACTGGCATATAGGGACTGTTAAAAAGGCCTTTATCTGTCAAAGCGACCTGCTTAGAGCAGTAATTATACCAAAGTTGGAAAAAAAGATATCTAAACATTTGGAATTAAAGATTTAAAAACATTTTTTTTCTGTCAGTATGCTCTATCCAGAACACCTAAAGTGGAAAAGTTTTAGTGTCACCCTTTTTGATTTTGTAAAAAGTCTTCCTTATCTGCAGCCCTAATGTGTTCAGGAGAAATCTCTAAACAGCAAAGTTAGTTTAATATGGTGAGAATTTCTTAAAACAATTTAAGAAAGATATTCTGTTAATCTAAAACAATTTATCAGCAATATACACTCTCATAATGTGATTTTTGCAATGATTTAGTAACTGTTTTTTTTTTATTTATATCTTAATTTGTTTTCATTTTTTTTTCTTAAAACTTTTCTTTTAATGTAGAATCAAGTTTTTACTTTTTTTTTTTTTGTTATGATGGTTTAAAGTGCTTTACTTAGATAGTTTGACCTGAAGTCCTTTTTTTCAAATGTGAGGGAGTAAAAAAAAACAAACTGTTTGGCTGATTTAAATCTGAAAGTATGGTGGCTGTGAGAGGACAAACTTTCAAAGTGCATTTACTGGATACATCCCCCTATTATTCAGAAACATCTGTAGACTTAAACGCCTTTTAAAGCAAACCTTAGATTGTTTTTCAAGGAGTTTAAACACATTTCCTTCCTGTAATGTTTAAATGTGATGTAAAAAAGAAAAAAGTGGAATTATGAAGAAGCAGTTAAGTTCAGAAAAGTCCAAACAAAGAGTTTATGTTGGATCATTGCAGCTACAGAAAAGGTTAAAGCTTAGAGTGGCACAGACAGACCATCTGAACCGTATTTGGGTCTTTGACTCAGAATCTTTGCACCCGTGCAGTAAAAGGGAAGAATGCTCACTGTGGTTAAAGTGAGTCATTCAGGAAAACCGCTGTTACTCTGCTCACTCTGAAAGTGGAAGCAGTTCTCTTAGCTCCTCCCCGCTTCGTGTTTCACTGCAGTTAAACTTCTAACATTCCAGCTTTAGCTCCTGAGGGAACAACAAGTTCTTCAACAGATCTGAACGCTGCACAGAGTATTCATGGAATTTGTCTCGTTCAGTCGCGACAAACTGCTGGAGATTTTATAAAATTTTTACTCATAAACAAAGAAGAAAAAGAAGAATGCAGCCCTCTGAGTCACAACCTGAAGGTCTCAGCTTGATGCTCTTACTGGGCAAAGATAAAAACCATAGCAGCAGTGGTACATAGGCTTCTGGTTCTGGTTACATCTGACCTATCCCCTTTCAGCAGGTTCTGGTCCAGCCATGACCCAGAAGGAGCAGCAAGAGTTCACGGCCTGCTTGCAGGAGGCCCTCGCATGGATGCAGAGCGTCCAGGAGCAGCTTAAAGGCAACGATAATACACAGGGGCCCCGAGATGCCCTGGAGGCTCGACTCAGGGAGACCGAGGTAAGGCGTTTATTCTCAAAGATTTCATTGGATATATTATAAAAACCCAATCACTAGAATGGGGTAGAGATGTGGTTTGATTTGCTTTAATCAGAAACTGCAACTTGGTTTGAATCAGTGATAAAAAAAAAAATCAGTTTGACAGAATGTTGCATCGCTGCATGCAGTTTTACGAGCCACACCCGCCGTGGGTGGAGTCCTAGCTGGTGTTGTAGTCGGTGGATGGTTTGCTACATCTCAAGCTTCTGGCAATGAGCAGCAGGCTGTGAATAATCACCAGATCTGCTCCTGCAGCTGAGAGCATCAGCTTTTTATTTGGAGCCCCCTCCCTCTTGTTTTTACCTAAAGGCCTCACCCTCATGAAAACTGCATGGAGTCTGTTTCTGCAGAAACCAGCCAGCAGAACCAGTTTAATTTGTTCTGGATTTCTGTTTTCATTCTTTTGAAGACATTAAATGTACCTTCATGCTTTAATTGCCAAGATGTTTTTGTTTCTGAGGAGACCTGTTGTGTTTTCTTCATGTTTTTTTTTTCTTCCCCAACACATATTATCACAAAGAAATCCACTTTCTCCGTGTTTATCAAAGCAAACATGCAACACACATAGGATCAACCCTCTTCAGGCTAAACCCACTGCTGCAGATGAGCTGTCTTCTCTTACCTTTAAAGTCGTCTTGATAAATAATTCTTCAAACCCCTTTAAGATCTTTCAACTCTTTCTTTTGAAATCTGTCTGCCTTTGCTCTTAATTAATCTAAGGAAGCATAAAAGATAAATATGATTTGTGAATTCCAACGCACGTCTCCAGCAGATGCACCTTTATGTTTGCAGATGCCACATCCTGCTGCTCACTGCTGCTGATGTCATTAAACTCCAATTCCATCAATACAATAATCTCTGCAGGAGTTCTGTTGTGCTCTGGTCCTCTTTCTCCATCTTTTCCTATAGAATCAGCAGCATTTATATTAAAATAAAGCAACACTAGACAGCTCTGTTATATATTCCCTTTGCAGGTATATGTGTGGTTATCCCTGAACGTCGTCCATAGGAGCTCAACTTATTTATCTGATCTCTGCAGAAAAGGTTCTTCAAACCTGATCAGGCTCAAAAAAATTTATTTCTGAGGACCTTTTGAGGGTTAAAACATAACCGTCTGATTTGATCATTGTTTCTTCTCTTTCTACCTAATAGCTCTGTTTGAATTAAATTCTCGTGGACGATAACAACAGTATAAACCAATCAACAACTGTTGTATTGTGTTTTGTCACCTTTTGGAGCATAATCTATTGCAGGATTAAAAATAAGAAAGAGAAGAGGAAGTTTAAGTGTTTTTTTTATTGTTAGCTTTGAGCAACACATGTGAAAGAACTATCTGTTGCTACTGCGAAGAAGACAACTATTTCAACTATTTTAACATTTTCTCCACCATCATGTACAGAAAATCCATCATTCGGAAGATACAGGTCGGATGAAAGTGGACCAGGTGTTGATGGCGGCAGAGAAACTTCTGCAGAGCGAAGATGAGGAGCTTAAGAACAGCACTAACGGCAAACTGAAGGAGCTGAAGAGCCAGTGGGAGGACACAACCACCTACATTGTCCATTGTCACAGGTAACCTCCTCAGCCTTCATCCTGTGACTCTTTGTTTGTTCCATGTTGCCTTTAGTCTGACGGAGGTTACCTTGTGTCCTCTATGTTACCGTCTGTATTTCATTGCTTATGTTCTTTATGGTAATATATTGCATGGCCTAAAAGTTTAATTTTAGTTTCCCAAATGGTAGAAACGAATGTGTTGGCTAAGGCAGCAAATAGAATAGAATAGAATAGAATAGAATAGAATAGAATAGAATTCCACTTTATTTGCATTACACTGTGACATCTATCCAGAAGTGCTATTCAGGATATAGATATGTGCACAAAGACTATGTATGTATTAACTATAAATGGTATATATATATATGAACAGAGAGTAATTGTAAGAGGCTATACAATAAATCTATATATGAAACTATATACAAATTATACAGGAAGGTTAGGATATGGATTATGTATATATTAGTGGGGTTATAATATAGAATAAATAATAACAGATGATAGCAGATAAAAGATTAGCAGATTTTTTTACACCTATAGATGAGTAGTGCTTGTAAGCGAGGATGTGTGTGTGAGGACAGTCCATACGTTATTGTTTTGCGTGTTTTTTTTTTTTTTTTTTGGGGGGGTACAGTCCTTTTAGTTGGTGTCAGGAGGCATTCAGGAATGACGGCTGTGGGGAAGAAGCTGTTTCGATACTCCTGAAGACGGGAGTGAGAACGGTGTGTGTGCAGGTCCGGTGGAGTCTTTGGAGATTTTCCTGTCCCTTTTCAGACACCGCTTCCTGTAGATGTCCTCAATGGCAGGGAGGGTAGTTTTCACCATCCTCTGCATTGCCTTCCTGTCTGAGGCAAAGCAGTTCCCATACCAAACTGTGATACAGTTGGTAATGATGCTCTCAATGGTGCAGTAGGAGAACTTCAGGAGGATCCCTGAGGACAGATGGTTCTTCCTTAATAAAGAAGAGGCGCCGATGCACCTTCTTGATGAGCTTATAGCTGATGGTCATCCATGCCAGACCCTCAGAGATGTGGATTCCCAGGAACTTAAAGCTGTCCACACGCTCCACCGCCGTCCCCTTGAGGGTGGGTGGATGTGGGTCAGCGTTCCTCTTGACGTCCACGACGAAAAGACGCAAGTTCCTTTGTCTTTTCATGGTTCAGCTGCAGGTTGTCTGTTCCGCACCATTCAGCCAGATGGTCCACCTCCTCCCTGTAGGAGGCCTCATCGTTGTCTCTGATGAGTCCGATCACTGAGGTGTCGTCATCAAACTTGATGATGGAGTTGGAGCCATGGACGGGTCTGCAGTAGAGGGTGAGGAGGGAGTCGAGGAAGGGACTAATCATGCATCCTTCTGGGACTCCGGTGTTTATGGTGACGGTGGTTGTCCAGCCGGGAATGTTGGGGCCGACTGGTCAGGTAGTCGAGCAACCAGTTGCACATGAGTGAACTAATGCCGAGTTAGTTAGTTTTTCCCTGACCTTACATCTAGGGAAGTGCGGGATTTATCAGAACTATTTTCTGGTAAATCAGAGCACTGATTCCCCCCTGATGTGCTTGTTTCTTCTTAAAAAATTTGTTATTTTCTTACTCTGGGAATAAAGAAACAATCCAGGAAGGGAGAAAATGCCAGCAACACAACATGAGAGTATGATATCTGAGCGGTGGGAAGCGTAAATATCTCAAAGGGTTTTGCGTGTGAAACAGACAGATAACAAAGGGAGAAAGCTGCTCAAGAGTCTGGAATGTCATGTTGTCAGCATGCAGTCCAACAGTCAAGAGATGTTTATTTTCTAAATGTCACTTTAACATTTAGGTTTAAAAAAGGAGCCGTATTAATAACATCTGTGTTAAATGCCTTTTCTGGCCTTGAATGCACACTAGTCTGATCCCTGCTAAGAACAGAAATGATGCAAGACTCTGACTCTGAAAGGAGTTGCACCGTAGGAGAAGTGAGGCTAAAATGAAATAAAGTTTCCTAAGATTCCTGTTCATGTCTTCGCAGCCGGATCGAATGGGTGTGGCTCCACTGGAGCGAGTACCTGAAGGCGTACGAGGAGTTTGAGGTGTGGCTCACCAAGCAACAGCGCTCTCTGGACAAGAATGTGGAGCTACAGCTGGGCCCGAAGGAGAAGCTGTGGCAGCTGGACCAGCACAGGGTGATGGTGAGCGACGTCGACAGCCAGGTGGCGCTGTTGGAGAGGCTGCTGGACGAGGCAGCCGCGCTGCATGGCAGAACCCAGGACCCCAGCGTGGACAAACAGGCCCAGCAAAGAATGCAAGAGGACTATAACAACATCCGGGATCGAGCCAGGGTGGGACATGATCAGAATCTGGTTCAGACTCATTGGATCCAGACCTGCTCAAAACATCTTAGATGATAATAACTGTTTTTTTTCTCCCCTGCTCTGTTAGGAGCGGCTGATGCTGCTGCAGAAGATCAGCGATGAGCACCAGACGTTTCAAAGCCGTGTTCAGAAGTTTGAGTCCTGGCTGGTGTCTAAAACCAGAGAGCTGACCGAGCTGATGCAGCTGAAGGAAACTCCTGAGAACAAGCTGAAAGCATTAAAGGTCGGTCAAAACGCTGACAATCATTGTCTCAACATCTGCTGGTTCTAGGCCAGCTAGCAGCAAGGCGATGGTTAAGAACATCTGCCTCCTTGTCCTCCTAACGTCTTGCTTTGTCTCAGACTCTGGATGAAAGCGTGGCATCTGAGGAGACCACCCTGCAGCAGATTGAAAACATGGCAGACGCTGTGAGAGCCAACACGTCTCCTGCAGGAGCAGTAGCTGTGCAGGAGGAGGCAGAGGAGCTGCGGCTGGGATGGCAGCGTCTACGACAGGGTCTCTGTGAGGCCGAGGAGGGTCTGCGCTGCAGCTTGGACTCCCATAGTCAGTACCTGACCCGGTGCCGGCGGCTGGGAGATGAGATAGGGCGGATCAGGGAGCTGCTGCAAGACCTGGACCAGGAGCTGGAGGAAACCCAGGAGTCCAAACGCAGTTCCGAGATCAACGAAGAGCAGATGGAAGGACAGTGGAGGAAATACTCAGTAGGTCAAGGGGGAGAGGGTTTTAAACAGGATTGGATTGTTTGAAATCCAGGGATTTCAGACCCTTCAACCTATGTTGGTCTCATTATTGTGTTTCAGGGTGTTTGGAACACTCTGGCTGGGAAAGAGTCTCAGGTGGAGCTGCTGAAGGCTCAACTAAAGGAGCTCTTCAGGTTCTCTGAGGACTCTCGTCATCTTTCAGACGACGTCTTGGCTGTTGTTAAAGAACATCACAGGTAGGTTAGAGGTTAGAGCTTCAGAACAGACCCACTGATGTTTTATCACAGGTAAAGTGTCCATAAAGTATTGATGTCTAAATGTATAATTCTGCTGCGTTTAAGATCAGGGTAACAGGAGCCTGCTTCTTTAAGGAGAACTAAGCACCTTTTTGTGTCTGATGTTTGTTGTTTCAGCCGTGTTTTGATCGATTGCTTATGTTTCAGAGCCAGTAAATACCTGTAAATATTTGGATGCAGTGCAGCCATGATATTTCAGATACATCAACCACACTTCAGAATAAAACATACAAAACACAACCCTAATCTGTATCAGCAGGAAAAACCATTCCAATAATAGCAATTCAGTAACAACACTCTGACCAGAGCAGCTTCTATAGCTGTAGCTATTATTCACTGCAGGGAGTCTTAAGGTTTGTTTAGCCAGGCTGTATAATAAACAGAAAATCCCCTTAGGTGGAGAAAAAAAAGGGAGAAAAAAATACAAATAATAAACCCAAACTCCCTCAGCCTCATGCCAGAAATATGGCACACAATAAACCTGGAGCTTTTGTCAGAGGTGCTGAGAAAAATCCTGCAACTACTGCAAAAAAATCTATACAAAAAAAACCCCAATAACTTCATGCAATCTACCACAAAATACAGCTACAAAACCCCTAACCTACTGAGAAAGTAGTTTAAATTACTTCAGGGTTACAGTTCTTCTACAATATTTTTATGCAAAATAATTTTTTTAACCTTTTTTGTAAATATTTGACATCAAAGCATAAAATTGAAGGTGTGACAGAAATATCAACCGGCTGTCAGGCTCAGGTGGTTTATATTCTGCAGGGCTCTTGTTTACCTGTGCAGCAGCAGTGTTTTTTTTTCCACAGTTTACATCATTTGCCAGTTAGTCACTCAGATATGGAACATCTTTAAAGAAATGACCCTTGAAGCAAATTGCTTTGAGAAAGTAAACCATTTGATTAGAACTTGTTAAAAGTTCAGCAAGAAAAAAAAGAGAATTATTAGTGAAGGATGCAATCTGTTTGAAGTGAAGATTTCCTGCTTTGAAGCTCCAGTTTGTGGAGATCAGACAGGTTGAGAACGTTTTTTATGAGCTGCTCCAGGATCTGCTCAACTGGTCATTAAGCTTTACAGTGATGCATCCAAATATCCTATGCTGTTCTTTGGACCTATCATTAAACCTGGCTGTAACTTCTGTCTCTGAGACAATAACGGCAGAGTCTGCCGTCCAAAACTCTTGGAACATTTTGGCTTTTAATCACAGCACTGGGAGTTTTCCATAGGATAAGCTGAACATGTATCTGCAGAGCTGTAGGTCATCATGTGCAGCTTTTTCTCCTTTTCTATTGAGCGTAATGAGGGGCTGAATTAGGACAACATCAGCTTAGAGAATTCAAACTAAATGAAATTGTCTTTGCTTTTACTGTTGCTGTTTTGTTTGATTCAGATTATTTCTTCTGCCGAATGCTGTAAGTATCATAAAATGTCTTTTTTTTTTTAAATGTAACTTTTTAAAGGGAAGCTTTGGACTTCTGGATGAGCGGCATTATCATCATCATCATTATCATCAGGAAACAAGGAAGGGGGCTCTAAAATGCCCCCCTAAGCCAGATCAAACAATGAGCTGCAGCCTCCCAGATCCAGGAGAGATTCTGGATTAAGCTTTCCTTCTGGAAATTTACACCTCAGGGTTGTTAACAACTCGGCATCAGACAGGGATTTCAGTGAGCGATTGGTTTTTCTGACACATGGAGCCTAATTTTTTGTTCTTCAGTTTTAATGAGATCCTGAATTATGTTTTTAAAAAATACTTCCAAGTAAAATTAAGACTATTTATTTATTAGATTGCTGTTCTTTATAAGATTTTCTTAGCCAAGGCTCAACCGCCAGTAACATGAGGGAGACTGTCATAGTTTAGCTTCAAATGTTGGACACTAACTAACTTTCAGATTTAAATCCAGGATTATTTTCATAAAACCAAAAAATTTTGTTCTGATTGAAAATCAGACAACTGTTTATCAAACCATGATAAAACATAAAAAAAAAACAAATATATCCATTTCTATATCTATACTTGTGGAAAATGCTTCATATATACATATTTTTTTAATGGTAACAATCTCGGTTGGCATTTAAACAATCAGACCTTTATAATTGGTAATTAGCTTTCATAGCTGTTTTAATTGATATTTAGAATAATGATCTTGTTTTTTTTTTTTTTTTAGTCCTTATGGTTGAAAGGCTCTTTTTCGTCGTAAGTATTGGACAAATAATTCATAAAATCTGCAAGGGGTACGGGTCATTTTAGGCTTAACCGTTAGTAGAATGAAGCTCACGATGAAGCACGATCTATGGAGCAGGAGGAAAATGTTTTTTTCTTGTTTTGGTGCAAAATTAACTGGAGCTGCTAGAAAAAAGGGGGTTCTGAATGATCTATTAGGCATTTCAGAGTAGATTTACTAAGGACTTTTACAGCCTTTCATGCAGAGTAGGACAGTCTTTTTGTAACGAATAATTACTAAGTAATTAGGCTGCCTGTGTTTGGGTGAAATGATGTTAGAGCATAATGGCAGCTAATTTAACAGAACAGAGAAGGGATTCCTACAAAAAAAAAACCCTGTGTGGAAAGAAAAAAATGAAATATCCATAAAAAAGAAAAACATCATCACTGATCAAACAGTAATATGAATTTAGGTTTATCTCTGATTAAAATGACCGTTTCTCCCATCTCATAATTAACACTTGAACTACTTTTTCATTTGCAAAAAATAAAAAGGAAAGCTGATGAGAACAGTTTAAAAATTTTTTTGTTAAAAACATGAATTTATTAACTTTAATTTAGGCAATGTATAATTTGGCTGTTTTTTTTATTAAACCAAAGAAGTCTAATTCATAAACGAGCTGAATAACTAATAATTAAATTATTAATTATAATTACTAATTTAATATTAATTGTATAATAATATTTAATTATAATGAATAAATATATGATAATAACCAGAAGGATAGGCAGTCGTTTTTAGGATAGCTGCTGAAACGTTGCTGAAAAGTTAAAGAAGTGAAAAACATGGAAACATAAGTATTCCACAAGTTAATGAATAAGAAAAAGACAGAAACGTAGAAATATGTAACACTATTAAAAAGATAAACAGTAGCATTTTTCCATTATTGCAGTTTGTGAAGGTTGTCTGCGACAAGAAGAGAAGAAGTAACAACAAGAAAACATATTTTTTGTAAAAGCTGAATTTTAGAAAAATAAAGTGGGGAAAACTGTTTTTTTCCCCCTTAGCAACCTGTCGTGCTTTCAAAACTTCCATGCTTAATTAGTCTCTGATCATTAAGGTATTTGCAGAACTCCGTGACCCAACAACAAACTGGTCTTTATCTGTTTTATTTTTAAGCAGCTAAAGCTCCAGCTGGGTTTCAATCAGAACCAGAGATGTTCTAGACGTTGGGTTTTGTATCGGTCACCTCTTATTTGTTCATTATAGCTCCTTTCTTATTCACTTTCCAAAGCTTTTTAACATGATTGTCCATTTTATCAACTGTCAGACCTGAACATCATTTCTTAGTGAACAACTGGACTGACTCTTATTTATTATAAAAATGTTGAAAGGCTTATTATTTTATTTTAGGTTTAAAGGAAGCTGAAGGTTGTTGAGTGTTGATAAATTGCCTCCAAGCTCCAGTCTGAGGATTTTTCGTGTTTCCATGGAGAATCATGAATAACAGCCGCTGTTGGTTCTGATCTTCACCTCATACAGAGGTTTAAAGGCTTCCTTTACAGCTGTTAAAACAACTGGATCTGGATAGACTCTGAAGTGAAGAGTCATATCAGACTTGTTTAAGCTGCAAAGTCAACTTTGACGTGCGCCCATCATCTTACTGAGCAAAGAGAAATGTGTCCTCCAGTCTGAATGTAAAGCATCATACAAACAGGATGATGGTGTCAGACTGACTCTGCTCTCTGTCAGAACATGTTTTCTGACTAACCTGCTTCTACATCTGTGTCCCAGTGTGAAGTGCCGAGCTTCCAGACTCTGTTCGGAATCAGAGCTGGAGCTGAGGAGCATCCTCCAGGACCCCCTGCTGAACTACTCTCAATGGGCCAATTCCGTCTCTCAGGTGATGGAGGCCTCCAACAATGTCAGCGACTTCTCCGACTCCGCCACGCTGCTGCGCAGGATCGAGGTATCACACAGAAACACGCTGATCTGTGGCCTTCAGCAGCAGCTCGCTGTGCACGCTTTGTTCTACTTTGCTCCCAAGCATTTTGTAGAGCATGACTTTAAAGTCGTAGGGAAATCATATTTAAATGTCAAATCATTCTGGCTTAAAAATGTATATAAATGTACTCTTTATCAGACCATATTGTCCCAAAATGTAGAAAATTCTGTTTAGAAAAAAAATGTTTTTTTCGTTATCTTATTCAGGCCAGTTAATTATACGTCAGCTTGTACTGTACACCTAAATTCGGACAATCATATATCAATGGTCATCTGTCAATCAAATTTTTTCAGTCATGGCATCTTGAATCATAAGTCGCAGGTAATATATGCAACACTTGAAATAAGAAATAAGAATAATTTACTTTACCATTGAGTTACGTCCCAGTATACACAGGAATGGATGTCTGTGTCTTCGGCAGGCGTGCGCATTAGTGCTACTTGGTCCCTATGTAATTTCCCATTGGGAACCTACTAGCACTAAGTTGCTAACTGGTTAGCAAGATGCCTCCAACAAACCGGCCACAATCAAACTTGCATTTGAACCTTCCGCCACAACAATCCCGCCCTCTTGATAAACGACCAATCACATTCACTTTATTCACTCGTGTAAAGTCATGCACCACTTGGGAGAATTCAGAAATGCAACGGTTGGAACAACTTTAAATACTTTTTTAAGCCAGGATAAGAGTTTAAAAATATAAACAGACAATGGAAAACCTGTTAGAATTCCAGTTTCCATTAGTGTTCCATTACTGCAAAAATAACAGACTATTTTACAATGATTCCTATTAATTTTGTTCTCTTGGTCTTAATTTGCCTGGCATTGATGGAATTTTTTGTGAAACTATAAGCTGTTTTATTCCTTTTAATTGAAACCCAGACATTAAACACCTTCATAACACAAACAGTGTATCTCCATTCCTCATGTACAATTTCCTAGCAATATTTTCCTTCCACTGAACTTTTCCTTAATATGGTTAAATAAAGGACTCCCCGTGAACAGTCAGCTTGTTTAGCAATAATCTGATGAACAGAAATAGACATTTGAAATATATTTAACTCTTGATATTCTTCATGTAAGCTTCATATTTAGATTTTTGTTAATGAAAGGTTTATTTTTAGGTTCCTGAAATGCAGCTCTCTGTAGAAAGTTGGGATGATCCCTTCCAGTTATAACGTCAGCTGCTTTCTTAAAAACTCCACCCGTCTCTAATGGTTTAGCGTCCAACATTGACTTCTGATGGTTATGTTCCAGTGCTTCTGTGTCACTCCTCATTTCTGCCCTCTCTTGTCTCCTTCAGGGTCTCCTGCTGAACAGCGCCGAGCTGCAGGAGCGTCTGGGCCTGCTGCAGGTGAAAGGAGACCTGCTGGATTCAGTGTTCGGTCCTGAGAGGTCTGACACCCTCCGCGTTAACCTGAACACCGCCGTCAGGAACAGAGAGCTGCTGCACCATCAGCTGCTGGAGAGGAAGAACAGACTGCAGGTAACTAAGCTGGGATTTGAGGTTATGGTCTTTTTTTTTTCTTGTGATGGCTTATCGAAGCTTTTTACACAACTTTGCATCTTAAAACAAAGATTCACTGCTCAAGTGGGACATCTAGTGGTAAAGAGAAATAACTGAAATGAGACATCGCCATTGTCATCAGTTTATTTTTTCTATGAAACAAATCATGCTGCTCTACATCACATGAGCAGATTTAGACTGCAAATAATAATGTTTATGGGTCTTTCGGAAAGCAGTGAAGGAAAGCCGCTGAATGGAAACAGCCTGCTTTGACACTGTAAAAGATTCACCCAACAATCTGATCCAGTTTAAGCAGTTAGATTTAAGCAGTTCTCTGAAAGTGCTCCAAATGTCTACAGTCACTTGATTAAACAGTGCCTCAGCACATACTGTAGGTTTGGTCAGTTTCTAGGCTCAATGTGTTGGAGGATCATTAGCTCCTTCCTGTTTCCTAGCGCATCTCTGTTGGGAGGAGATGAAACAGTCAATCGACTCACAAACTATAAACAAAACTCTTGTCTTTTCTAATTCAATAAATGCAACAAAATTATTTTTTCCTTCCTTCCTTCCTTCCTTCCTTCCTTCCTTCCTTCCTTCCTTCCTTCCTTCCTTCCTTCCTTCCTTCCTTCCTTCTTTTGAAGCATAATAACCACCAGCTTGTTCTTTGCTGCACTTTTTCTGAGTTCAATAAAGTCTGATAAATGTTAGCAATACTTCCTTTAACTGAGAAATAGGATAATCTTGTATTTGCTTTATTCTTGCTAAAGTGAAAGCTATTTCTTCTATATTTCCCTTTTTTGTTATTGAATCATGATTAGCAGTATTCTGCTAGGAAAGCTTGACTAGGAACATCCCTAGAGATAAAGATTGAATAAATGAATGTGATGAAAACCAAAAAGCTGGATGTGAATATTTGGATAAACTTCTCTTTGCAGCTCCAGCTCCCTTTCCTGCAGGTTTTCTTTATCCTCAGCATCTAAACTTCCCTCCTTAACAGGCTGGGAACTCTACCTGCAGTTCGCTCGCTGCAGTTTCCCACCACAGCAGCTCTCGCCTGCTGTGTTTTGAGGATGGAGCCCTCCCATCTCTCTGTTGGAAACTCATCCTGTATTCTTTCCTCTGCCTCTGTCAAGGTTGCATCAGAAAGCTGATGTTTGGTTTTCAGAACTGGAATCAGCCTGGAGCTCCTGTTTCTCGCCGAGGAAACAGAAACTCCTCTGATATTTGCCCTGTTTGTGCTCTGCTGCCGCTCACACCTAGGACTCTGACAGAGCTTTGTTGACTGAATGAGTGAAAATTATCAAACTGGAGGGAAAGTTTTGAGCTAAACAGGCCAGCTATTCTGATGCTCTGCCTCTGACCCACCAATGCACATCAGTTACCATCCTGATGATCCAGAGGCATGCAGCTACCTGTCCACAAGCACCTGCTGCTATTCAGCTATTTACTGATAGATGAAGCTGCAGATGGAATCTATAATTAGGATCATATCCACCCAGAGTGATCAGATTTAAAGTTTTGTTCAAGTTTTTAGGAGGCAGAGTCCAAACTGTGATGAAGAGTATCTCCTCTGACAGATTTAGATCCTCTAACATGCTGATGTTCTCCTTTTCTCGCAGAATTTAATCTCCCGAACCAAAGACTTTGACAAAGAGTACCAGCTGACCCTCGCCAAGTTGTCGGCGTTCAGGGAGCGACTGCAGGCTGCTGATGTTCTCCAACCAGACATCCTGGCCAAAAAAAGCCAGCTGGACCAGATGTTGGTGAGTTACTTCAAACTGACTCAGCAGGGATGCTTTGATTTTATACAATAATCAGTAAAAGCTTCTAGCTGCTTCGTCATCAGGAGTATTGCTAAGCTAAACCTCCAGGTTGTTAAAGCTATCGCTACAGTCGCTAATATTTGAAGAAATCCGATTACTTCTGCATGTCTGTTTATTTCATGAACCCTCAGTCGGCCTCAGCAGAAAGCCGCTCACACTGATCCTAGTTCTGCTGGAGGTTTCTTCCAAATAAAACTGAGTATTTCCTCTCCACTCTCGCTGTGTGCTTGCTCAGTGTGAGGGATTGTTGTAGAGTCGACAACAAAATGCAAGCGAATATCCACTATCACCACCTGCTCACCCAGGAGAAGCTCGTCCTGCAAAGTCATGAATTTGATGCAATCATCTGGTTTTCCTTGTTTCCAAGGATCCTCCTGTATAATCTGATTGAATTACTTTTATAAAGTGCCTTGAGATAACATGTTGTGAGTCTGCACTATATGAATGAACTGAATTGAACATGTTATTTTTATAAACCAGATATATGGTCAGGTCGATTTTCTGTTGCATCAGAACCGGATGAAGAGTATTTGTTCAAGCGTATCTTAAAAATTAATATGAACAACATTTAGATTTATCGCAATTGAGGATGCAACTAACAATTATTTTGCTAATCGATTAAAATTAAAATAGGTGAAACAAAAATGTTTTCACCTCTGGCGCTCTGGATAGAACATATAAATGGATGAAATGTTTAGATTTTTTTTTTATCTTAAAAATGTTTTCCAATTTAGGTATAATTACTGCATGTTTCAGAGTCTCTGTACTGCAGTCAACAATTATCTGATTACTAAATTGATTGACGCAGATTGGTTTCACTAATCAATTGATCACGATTAATTGTTTCAGCCTTAATTCAAATTTAATTCTAAAGTCAAATTGTTGAATGGGGGGGATTAGTAACATTTTTTAATATGTAGTTCTGTTCATTTTTACAGCTAATCAAGATAAAACAAAACAACACAGTTCTTTTTTTTTTCTTTTCTTTTGGGAGTTGAGGACATCATCAGACCAATAAAATTGTAATTCCCACTAAGAGATGTTATTTTCTGGCACTGTTGCCACCTATGAAATTCATAGTGAAGACCAACAGTAGTGCGCTTTATGCAATCATATTAATGGAAACATGAGTGGAAGAAAAAAAGGCGTCAGAAAAACGGACTGTTGGACCAGAGATTACGTCAGAAGCATCTTACCTGGGATGAAAGGAGGAATGAACTGGGCTGTTGCTCTGTGGTCGTCTTTTAGAGATGAAAGTCAGTTTTGCTTTTCATCTAGAAAATTGGAAGTCTCTGAGTCGGATGGAGTGGAGAAGGCACAGAATCAGAGTTAGTGTTTTGTAGAAGTCGGGGATGATCTGAGGAGGCCAGTCAGTGCAGGCGATGATCTTTGCTGATGAGCTTAATGGATATTTCATTATTTTAGCAGGATCTGCTCCCACTGCCGACCACTAATGGTACTGTGGTCGCTAAAGCAGGTGTTGGTGCTTATAAATATCTCAAAAGAACCAAAGGCTGATCATCTTCATTGCTCTGCTGATGCAGTAGTTCATGATTAAAAAAAGCCCCATATGGCCATAGAATTCAGCAGGGCCAAATTTCTGCATTGACGTGGTTCTTTTCAAGGTTTTATTAGCTGGGAGGGATGACACAGATCTGGGAATCCTGTTCTAACACCACAAAATCTGCCTTTATTGGTCATTTTTATTCATTCCAATTAAAAAAAAAATGTTTTTTTTTGTTTGTTTTCATTACTTGTAAATAGTCGAACAGTATCAGGAACACACTTTAAATAGCCATTGAGTGTGCTGAGTCCATATAAAGTGTGTTTCTCACCTTGTTAATCCTAATTACATTTATTAAGCTTCCCTAAGAGGTGTTATTATTAAACTAATATCTGATTTAAACAAAACCAGTCTGTGGTCTGTGATCACTACCTGCTGTTTATCTGTGTCCAGGTTCTCCAGAAAGAGCTTGAGGACGGTAAGGCCCAGCTGATGGTTCTGGAAACTCTGATTTCATCCAGCCAGGGCAGCAGGACTCAGTATGAGAAGCTGTGTGTCGATTGGACCGAGCTTCTGAGGAGAGTAACGGTAATCCATCCATCCATCCTCCCTCCCTCGCTCCTAAATTGTAACCCCCCAATTTTTTTTTTTTATAATAAATGTGTTCTGTTCGTCTGGAGGCAAAGCTGATGTTTCCTTTGTGTCCAGGTCAAAGTTCAGGACTGTAAGGATATCGTTTCTGGCCATGAAAGTTTTGACTATGAGTTTCGGAACATGGAGGAGTGGATGCTGAGGCAGAAGCCGGAGTCGTTCCAAAGTGTGGAAGGTCGCCACACTGAAGCCGAGGTTGGTTTTCTGATCCACCAGAGGGAATAGTTGCTGGTTCTGAGGGATTCAGGTCAGCTGGAAGGGAAAAGACTAGTTTCTGTTTTTCTGTTTGAGCTAAAGTTAAACAGAAAGTGAGTTCTTGCAGTTTTAATGCAGAGTTCAGTGTGACCTTTAACTCTCCAAAAGTTCTTCAGCTTTTAGCCTGATCTGGTTCTCTTTTTTGATCCATTTCTATGACAGCGCGGCTAAACTTTCCGATTTTCACTTTTCTTTTAGATGTCCATCCAAACAGAATAAAATAAGATGGGTAACCACAGTAACAGCCCTGCTGTCCAACCCAGCACACTACACCCTGAGATTTTCAGCCATGCAGCTTTTATGATAGAAGAATAAAGTCCAGCAGTGATGTTTTATGGAGAGCCTCAGATATTTTCTCTGAGGCTTTAACTGAGTTTAACATTTAAACAGCTGGATGTTGTAACAGCCAGTCAACAGTCCTCAGGTCAGATGGATGTAGGAGCATTTTCTTAGTTTTTTTTGCAAGTTTTAGCCTCCCAAAAAAAATGTCTTTTAAAACTCAGAATAAAAATAGTTTATACATGTAACTTTTTTCCCTTACTAATTAGTAGTTGATTTGACTTAAGTAATTTATTTTTTTTAAAGGGGGAACTCTTTTAGTGATTCATTACACAAAAGGAAATTTTCCCAACATTTACTTCTATTCATTTTGATGATCAAAGCTGGAATGTCTTCAGTCATTTTCTACTTTGCCCAGTTAAAACACTTCTATTTTTTTTATTTAAGGAGTGGCTTAACATAAGTAGCTTCCAGCCTGCATCCTTAAACATTATTATGGGTCAACTCTTAATCATCTGGGTCCAGCCTAAATCATTCTGATGAATCTCCCATAAACAGTCTTTGCTTTCACTATCTTTTTAATGCTCTAATTGTTGCTGTGGGTTTTTTTACAGAATGTTTTCCTTTGACTAAACTTTCCATCATATTGCTTGAATTCAGCAACCTGATGAGCTAGATTCAGTACCACTGACTGTGTTTGGCTTACTTTTCATTATGTAGGGCAGTAGAGACCTTTGGTTCTTCTAATTGTCAATCATTCTGATGATATGTTTACGTAAGGCCGTCCTATGTGCTGGTCCCCATGTTCACTTCCAGGTGGTCAGTCTGACATAGTGGAAAAATCTTCTTTTGGAAACTAAGCTTATATGAGCAATGCAAACAGAAACTTTTAAACAGAGCGTGCACAAAGAGAAATGGGTTTTTGCATGCGATTAATAGGCGTTCCTTCTTGGGAGGGGGTACAGGTTTGTGCATGTGCATTTATTTTTTTTGTTTTTTTAAGTTAAGAGGGTGGGTCTTTCCAAAAATTCAAGAAAATCCTCCACTATACCTTTAAGTTATCAGTCTTCTCTATGATCGTCTGTACCAGGGGCTCCTAACCCAGACTTTGGGAGCCACTGTTTGTTTTGCTCTTGGATCTCCAAGTGTGGGGTTCTAATATCTCCAGAAATTAAACTAAGTAACAGAAATGATTATGGGAATGCTTATTTGTAGCAGGAAATATCAAATTATTAATAAATGGGTAAAAGCAATATTTGTGACATTTCTAAACATGTCGGTTGCAAAGTCCATTGTCCAGCGCAGTAACTCCTATAGCAAGGATGTCAAAGCCAAATACACCGAAGGCCAAGAAAGGGCTGGACTGGTTAAATGTTTATTAAAACGTATTGAAATAAACATAGCCTATTGAACCAAGTTCTAACACATTATTTTTTTTAAACAAAATAATAATATAAATATTATTAATAAACTTTTATTATATTAATAAATGTATTAAGATAAATACATAAATGAAGTTACATGCATTATAAACCGAAAATGCATTACTGTGCTGCTCTATGTTCCAACCAATCACTGCTTTCAGAAATCGGGAAAATATGATTGTGTTTTTCTTTTCTTGTAATTATTTGCTGTGCTTTGCATGTTTGGATTGTTTTGGTTTTTTATTTCCCCCCTTTAATAATCTAAGCACACTGATCTGAAGCCGGTTGTATAAGGAGGCGGAGTGCAGTAACTGCGCTGAGCAAATGCTGCACATAGGTGTCAGCGAAGGCTGATTGAAGCCAAAATAAAAGGTGCCTAGATGGAAGGAGAGGGGAGCTGATCTTGCAGGTGATAAAAACGGACACGCTGCAGGGTGAGGGGCAGGTGGGAGCCGCACACCAGGCACAGAATACTGGGAGGTGAACAGAAGGGACAGTCAGGGCAGAGGTCTGCGCCTGTAAGTAGTTCTCCGTCTCGATCAGGAAATATGTCTTCTGATGGGGTCTTGGTGCGGG